AAAAAAAAAAAAAAAAGAAGTCTTTCCATCCTGGCTTCTAAGGATCACTCTAGCTTTACTTTTTCCAACACCAATCTGTTTGTCCTTTTAGGATTCTATGGTACTTTCAATATTCTTCTCCAGCACCACAGTTCAAATGCATTGATTCTTCTAGGGTCTTCCTTATGCAACATCCAACTTTCACATGCACATGATGCAACAGACAATACCATGGCTTGGGTCAGGAGCACTTGCTTAATCCTCAAAGAAACATCCTAGCTCTTCAATACTCTAAAGAGATATACCTAATGCAATACGTCTTTTGATCTCTTGACTGCTGCTTCCGTGAGCATTAATTGTGGATGTAAGCAAGGCAATATCCTTGACAACGTCAACCTTTTCTCCATTGTGAGTTTACGTAGGGTTCAGTTGGGAAGATTTGGGTCTTCCTTACGGTGAGTTGTAGTCCGTGCCGAAAGCTACAGTCCTCCAACTTCACCAGCAAGGGCTTCAAGTCCTATCACTTTCAGTGAGCAAGGTGTGTCATCTGCACATCGCAGGCTGTTAATAAGCCTTCCTCCAATCCTGGTGCCACACTCTTCTTCATGTAATTCATGTAAATCATAAATGCTCTGATGATTTGTTCAGCAGACAGACTGAACAAGTATGGTGAGAGGACACAACCCTGACGCACACCTTTCCTGATTTTAACCCATGCAGTATTTCCTTGTGTTTGCACAACTGCCTCTTGGTCCATGTACATGTTCCTCATAAGCACCATCAAGTGTTCCAGAATTCCCATTCTTCTCAAGGTTATCCATGGTTTATTATGGTCCACATAGTCAAATATCTTTGCATAGCTAATAAAACACAAGTAAAATCTTCCTGGTATTCTCTGCTTTGAACCAAGATCCATCTGATGTCAGTAATGATATCCCTTGTTCCACATCCTCTGCTGAATCCAGCCTGAACCTCTGGTAGCTCCTTGTCAATGTACTGCTGCAGTATACTGAGACTATGAGCAGGGTTTTAAAAGTTCATAGAAAATTTGGATGAAAAAATAATGGATTTTTTTCCAGGAGCTTTTAAAAGCTTCCCTAATTGTGTTGTTTGTTGGGTGCCAACAGGTCAGTTCTGACTCAGAGCGATCCTGTGCACACCAGAAGGAAACCCTGCCAGGCCCCGCACCCTGCTCACAGTTGTTCCCAGGCTTGAGTCAGCGGGGCGATTCAGCCAGTTCACATTGGTTGGGCAGCACCAATGCCTACTTTTGTTGAGTTCAGTTAAACTGACACTTGTAATCCGGGTTCTCTCTAAGGTGGGTGGCTGGGCAGCCACTCAATGGGGAAATCACAAATTTACATTCCTTATGCTGTTTTAACATTCATCTATTCAACAGCATATTCTAAGCACCCAGAGTAATGTTCGTTCTGTCCACAGGTATAACAAATGTGATGGAACGATGTTTGTAATATTTATTTATTCATTTCATAAGATTTCTTGGACTTTTGGTGAAACAATACATTTTGATTCCCTTGTGCTTGTTACTTCAGTAAACAAACATATAACATAACGAGAAGAAGTGCCAAACACCCAGAGGGTGACAGCCTGATGATATCCGCTTCAGCTTTGCGGTACGCCCTAAATTCTCATGAGATAGTGTGAGTGAAAGTGTACAGAGAGCTAAAAATCTTGCCAGAACAGTTGCTGTAAGTTCATCAGAATTGGAAAGAGGCTTCTCAAAGATGAACATGAGATGTTCATGCAGCAAATAAAATGACTATGGTCTAATTGGCCTGCCTTTAAAGGAATGGGCTCCTACTCCTACAGCAAAAAGATAGTTTAAGGAATAAATCACCCAGCCGATGATGTGTGGGTAAAAGAGAAGAATATTGCAAGGGCATCAATCAAACAGCAATGTAGAAATATCTTAAGTAACAGGTATATTAAAAAAAAAAAGTAACAGGTATATTGTTTTGTCAGGTATTTAATATTGTTTCATTGATGTTTTAAAACTTTTAATATAATCTAGTTTTGTGTGGCTATTTTCTTGTTCTTCTTTAAGTATTAATGGTATGAAATAATAAACTACCTTTCAGTATATCTTTTTTTTATACTTAAAACAGTCATTAGGGTAGCGGACAGGCTGTTAAATTATTTGAATCCCATAACTAGCTTGAGCCCATTGTTGCAGCCCCGGTGTCATTCCATCACCTTGAGAGCATGTCTCTTCCTCATCGCCCCTCTGCCTTACCAAGCATGATGTCCTTCTCCTGGGACTGTCTTCCCTGATAATGTGTCCAAAGTATTAAGACAAAGTCTCCCCATCCTGGCCTCTGAGGAGCACTCTGGCCGTACTTCTTCCAACACAGATCGGTTTGTCCTTTTAGCAGTCCTTGGTACTTTGCATATTCTTCTCCAGCACCACTCTTCTTTCCTCTTCCTTATTCACTGTCAAACTTTCACACGCATAGGAGGCAATCGAAAATAACATGGCTTGAGTCAGGTTCACCTTCATCCTCAAAGTAACATCCTTTGCTCTTCAATAATCTAAAGAGGTCTCATGCAGGAGATTTACCCAATGCAACTCGTCTTTTATCTCTTGACTGCTGCTTCCATGAACATTGCTTGTGGATGCAAGCAAGATAAAATGCTTGACAAGTTCAACCTTTTCTCCATTTATTATGACATCACCTCGTGGTCCAGTTATAAGGATTATGGTTCTCTTTACATGGATGGGTAATCCATACCGAAGGCTGCAGTTCTTGAACTTCATCAGCAAGTGCTTCAAGTCTTCCTCACTTGCAGTAAGCGAGGATCTGCACTTCATTAGATGCACATCCACCGATGCTGCGTTCTTCATATTCACAGCTTTGCCCTGCACACAGCAAAACAGACAACATTTAAACTGTTTGTACATGTCAAATTCAATGACAATGATTATATTTTTTGAGTTGTACAATCAGTATCACTTTCCTTTTCTGAATTGTTCCTTCCCATTTCCATAAACCTACTCTGGTTCGCATCTCCACTTTCCAGTTGATTATTCATCTGATCCCAGACAGATAAAAAGGAGCCACTGAAATAGCTTTTGCATAGCTTTGAAACATTGTCAGCTAGTGAAGGCCTAATGAATGGAGCGAATTTTGTCAGAGGTTGTGCAGCCGATGGGCCCTTTGGGTCGGAGGGTGCTGGAAATGTGCTCAGTATCAGCTGCTAAAAGGAAGCCAGGGGCTGCCCTCTCAGATCGGGGTCAACCATGGTGACCTGAGTGGAGGCAAGCCTGTGGGAGTGGAGCCTTCGGGATCTCCATTTGCTGGTGGAGCACGACTTGAGGTGAAGAGAAAGAGCTACAAGAATCTGCTAATGATTGGAATTTGGAATGTGTGAAGTATGAATCTAGGA